GTTTCTCTCTTTGCTATTGTCCTACGGCCTTGTACTCGGTGCCCATGGCAACGCCATTGTCCCCTTAGCGCCCATTTGTTCGTTCCTCGTATATAGCTGGATCCCTTGCTACCTGGAGACTCTAGTTTCGACCTCTTGTCTCCAGGTAAGCCATCGTGTATTTCGCTCTGTAGATACTTCGCTCAATACACATCTTGTCTCCAGTCCTGCCTGTTGAGCTCCGCTCCAGTCTCACTGCGATCAGAGCTCGTCGGCGCTCCTGCCTGCCTTGCTCGTCTCCACTTACTCGCTCGACAGTCAGTCGTAACACTAAACCTCTTCTGGGCATAGTGTCCAAGATTTTCGATGGAGTTACGATCCCGTAGAGTTCGCTTTGGCATATTCGGAGGCAAGGGCGTAGGTGCCCTGCCAGCTGGTATGTTATTTTCCCTTTCCTAGACTTTACTGGTTTCGGACATATCATAAGCGCCTCCTAGCATCGCAGACATTGCTCGTCTATCTACTTTGTTCAGAGCATGAAAATGGTGATTCGAAAACCAGAGAAGTGTACAAATGGTGTATAGCTACAAGTCTCTCGTCTTCTTTTTTTGAAAAGAGGGCCCACCGCAGAGCCTATAGTTTTTTCGTCATTCATGCCTGCCAAACGAAGCCCCAGCGTGACAATTCCGACCATGTGACGCCCTAGATTGTGCACCGGGCCAATCTTAGCGGAGGAGGTCGAGCTCCGTGCCTGGTTCCAGGGATGATGACGTCGCAAGGCCGGGCCCCGTCAATGTCATGTGTAGTCTCGTGACCAGACGTTCGGAGCCTGAAGCGGATACGAAAACCCGGGGGTATCCGGGCTCCTGAACGTCTGGTGGCTTTACCCCCGTGACCCCCCCATCGGTGACATGCGTCACATACCAACGCCCTGTCGAGACGGTCCAAATGAGTCGGAAGGCGCCCTTGGTGCACGATGTGGCGGCCTGCTCTCATTGTTCAACCCATGCGACACCCCCTGTGCAAGCCTTATTGGTGTCCTAGTTCATCATATCTTGCTACTCTTAATATAGCCTACATGACTATGGTGACCCCTCTCCCATGAAGCAGAGCATACCCACTTGTATGCAACCCTGCAAGCCGCCCAAACAAGCCGCCAAAGCATTGCTGCAGTACAACTCCTATGCAACCCACAAAGTGCTCGAGGACATATTCTGCAAAAGGATGGGAGGGAAGCCACACAGGTGGCAAATGGATGTTGCGGAAGCTCATGGGGTTAGGCGCTTGCGCATGGCTTAGGTGTTGCAGGGTAAATGGATGGGCAGGATCCTCGAGCGCAGCTTTGATCAGGCCCCATTCAGAGACATCCAAGAGGCGGTCGCTGTCGCACTCAAATGGTGCATAGCCATCATTGTCGTTGTCGTTGTCATCATCGAAGAGGGCTCCCCAACCGCTGGGATGCTCCTCGAGGCGCGCAAAGGGAAGCTGAGTGACGAGCGGGAACGTCACGTCGGTCACCGATGGGGGAGTCACGGGGGTAAAGCCACCAGACGTTAAGGAGCTCGGGAACCTCCGATTTTTCGTTCCCGCTTGGAGCTCCGAACGTCTGGTCACGAGACTACGTCGTGTGCGGCGTGAAACGTTTCACTGCCGCCCCCTCGAGATCGAGAGAGCTCGGAGGGCGACGGCCGAGAGCCGATCGCGACGTCGGGCGATGGGCGGGGACAATGGTGGTCGCTCTGGGGAGATGGTCGAAATCGTGCGTACGACAAAATGGAGATGAGTGTCATTCCGACACGGGGAATCGAACCCCGGGCTATCGCGTGAGAGGCGATAATGTTAGCCACTACACCATATCGGAATGTTATACAGGCATGTCAAAATAGTATCATCCAGCTTCTTATGATTTGGCTGCGTGCCGCATCGATACCTGATCAAGACGATTACACATTTTGTGACAGGTGTTTCTAGCAATTGTCAGGCCTGTTCCTTCAAGGTGGGTTTACTTTTCAGCTCCGGCTGGGTACATACGCAATTGTGACCAGTACTACCCCAGCCTTTGCGACCAATACACAAGGACCGGCTTGAAGAAACGGTCTAGAGCCCGCCGTAGGATGGACATGCTTCCTGATAGCTGGCGATCAGAGCTCACACGCCGCATGTGTTGTGCGAGCTTCACTGGTAGGTCTTTTAGTCTTCTCTACGAGGCTGTCTAGCCTACTTTCGGCCTGCGAGCCAAACGTCATCGTAGTGCCAAGCTCGGTTATGCGATTAGATACGCGGTACAGGTGTTAGCGGAAAGCCTCTCGTCCTGGGGCTCATAGCTTGAAGCTGTCCCGAGCAGGCTAACTTGTAGCACGGACGCACCGATATTCACCACAGTATACGGAGGCATGGCGCTGCCAGCTACTACAACATGCACAGCTTACAGCTACATGACGATCCGATGATGTGCGACCCTGGCATGGATATCCCAAGTTGTGGTGTGACTAGCTGGCCCCTTCGCACGGTGCATCAGAGCTGCGCCAATATGCTATACAACGAGTCTGCACGGATCTCTCCGACTCCTGACGTTCGCAGTCCAAGGACCGTCGGTGTAGAGTCACAGGCTATCTCTGACCCAAGCCTCGATGGCCGGTAAGCTTATGGCAAGATTCTGCAGATCGTTGCGACTCGGAAATGCGTCTGGGACAGATGATGCAAGCTCGACAGACGGCACAATCATGGTACGGCTCACCTTTGCTCGAGCTGTCAAGCCCACAAAATGATAACTTACGGCCCTTGTATACTATCAGACCCTCGTCGATAGGCGATTGTCGGGCAAAACTTTGGTTGACTGCATCGTACCATACCCAGAAGCCTTCCCCAGGCCTCCTACACGAGAATGGCTCCCAGCGAACGTACCGGTCGACTTCAAGGGACCCATCCGCACGCTCTACGCACCGCACGACTCCCCCGCCCAGATACACCGCCTCCCCTCCGCCGTTCTCGCGCGAGTATTCACCGCCGGCATATTCCGCGAATGGCGGGAGATCCAGTCCTTGACGCACGTCTGTCGCAGATGGCGAAAGCTAGTCCGGGCAACCCCGCAGCTATGGGCCGAAGCCGTCGCGTCTCTCGTTCAGTCAGGGAACGAGACCAGCTGTGCACGCTATTTGCAAGACTTCCTGTCTCGAACCTCCGAGGCTCACCCGATCAAGAGAATTCCAGCTCTTCTGCATGGGCAGTCAGCTATCTGGAATTGCGTCGTACCCCATCTTTCAAAGGTATCATCGTTGTCGCTCGTCGCCAGCACTGCGGAGGAAGCTATGAACATGCTTAGGACGATCCGCTTGGCACACGTGCGGTCGCTTGCAAGCCTCGAGCTCGTCACGTATGATCGGTTGCAGGCCTCATCCTTCGACAAGCTCTTCCCCTGGAGAGAACAGGAATTCCCGTGTCTACGGGAGTTGAAGATATCTGGTGTCTTCTTCTGCCACGCCAACTCGGTCGCGTCGCTGAGGTCTGTAGACCTGGTTGCCTGGTCCGCTACCGACTACGACTACAAATATCTCGACGGCCTCGCGCGGTGCGCAGGCAGTCTTGAATCACTATCTCTGCGAGCTTGGTATAAGCCACTGGAAACGACGCCGAGACGGACTCACCCAGATCCTCTGCCATTACCTAAAGTTCGTCGACTAAGCATCACAGGTGACGCCAAAGTGGTCGAGGAAGCTTTTGCGAGCCTCGCCTTGACGCCGATCGTACACGTCAGCATAACGCTGTGGAAGAAGTCCTTCGTTCCATATACCATCCTCAACATCTTACCGCCGTACCTCGCTGGTTTCCACGCCCCTCCGTTTATCGACACCCTTCGCATCCGCTTTGACCACTCGAGACACGTCACCGTGCGTTGTAGCGCGCGCAATGAGGAGCGACTTACGGTGAACAAATGCGTCGGCTCTTTGACAGCCTGCAGGAGGTTCACACAGGCCTTCCTCTTGCCTAGCGTCACTGAATTAGCCATCAATGTGACGTCCTCCTGCGAATTCTTCACGTCTCCTGCGGCTGATTGCGCCTTTTCCCCGAGGGATCACCTCAATCTTCGCCGCTTTGAACTGCTTGGCTCTAACAGGAGAAACTTGAAGTTCCGCGTTTTGGACAGTGTCCTGCGCCATCAGGTGCAATACGATGGTCTCACAACGGAGCGGCTAACGCTCGCATGGGGGATCCATCTCGAGCATGGCGTAGTCGCGGCCGTAGACGAGCTCGAGAAGCTCATAGAGGTTCTCACCACCCGCATCGCGAGCGATGGGACACAGCTCGCAAGGCTCGAGATCTGCGTCACTACCGCCATGGACCTCGACAGGTACAGGGCGTACTACGCGATTCGCGACCTCTGTCCTGATCGTGTCTGGAGCCGGCGAGTAGCGAGGAGGTTCTTGCCGAAGCTCGAGCTGCTTGCGGAAGATGTAGTAATCCTTGGTGATTGGGAGGAGTACGCCGAGGACATCGACGAGGAGGACGAGGCGTATTGCGGCGGAGGCGTCTGGAGGGAGGCTGCCGTCAAGGACGCGAGCTGGGACTGGGGCGGCGGCGATGTCGTGGCCACTCGGTACACGCCCGATTCACATCTGTGCCGGGACTGCGACTGCCAGTGAGTACTATCCTGCACTGTTGTGAGCCCATACTCACCTTGGGATTCTGTGCACCATGAAACTGGCGGGCATAAATTTAGACGATTTGGGGTTAGAGACGTGGACCTCGAATCTGAATCCGAATCCGACACCGATTAGGACTCACAGCTATAGAGGTAGAAGAGGTGAGTGAGTTTCAGCACTATAATAGATGCAAATCAGAGCACATCCTCATCACCAATAGAGATCCCATGCAACGTATCAAAATTACTCGGTCAGCACAGGTAGCATATCCCTTGGGCTCGTAAGACAAGGAATGTTCATAGCTCGAAGCTGTCCCATCGGCCCAGGACTCGGAGAGGAAGCAGTTGGACTCGTTACACGATACAAGAAGGAAGTATGAGTCTGCGCTCAAGGACGCGATTAGTTTCTACCGTTATAGTCGCATCCAGGTCTGTCTAGCGGACACAGGTATGATATGAGGGTCTTTTGGAACCTGGAGGTGACAAGCAGAGTCTGAGTACGTTGCGCGAGTCGTTGTTCATTGCCGTCACGTGATTGTCGGTGGCGGTGATAGGGTTCCCACGGAATTGATTGCTTTGCAGGACCTCCGCTGACCAGACGTGAATGTCTTGATGTCTCTGCACCGACGAGTTTATGAACACATTCCGTTTTTCTTTGGAACAGAATGCATAACAGAACAACTTTCTATTGCTATCTGTTCAACAGCAAGTCCACGTGGCAGACATCTCGGAAGCGCAACAGACCGAGAGCGCCCGCATCGCCTCTCTCGACGACCATCTCCTTCGTTGCGGCGGTATCCTCTGTGCTCACACTGCACGGACCACCTCCGAGTCTCCAACTGACTCACATCTCTCTGTCTTGCTGCCAGACGGGATACGACCGTCTTTAGTCGGAAGGACACACCTCTCAGTACGCATTTGCACCTCCTACGTCATACATTTGAGCTTGAGCCGGTCGGTCTCAACAACTTGGCACCCGTCCTACGCTCCTGACGTTTGCTGCGCTCTTCCTGCGCCGACTGCGTCGGTGACGGGCCGACGGCGGTTAGCGAGTTCTACAATCCGCTACATGCGTGGTGCTGTACTCCTGCATCTCAAGCTTGGTACGGTGTCTTCTATTTCGTTACACCCGCACAGCGTCTGGCGTAGACAACCGCTACAATCATACCGGTCGCATTCACGTAGGACCATGTCGCCAAGCAAGCTCGAGGCTGGTACAAACGGTGGTAACGCCAAGGAGTCCTCCTCGTCGGAGTCGAAAGCTGGTCGCAACTTCGTCCTTGCGTTATTCGCCGGTATCTATGCCGCTTTGACGGGTTGCCTAGCGAAAGCAGCTGTCTCTATGGAAGGGAACTTGGACCGTAAGCATGCCGTTCTGATAACTTGTCATGTTCAAGATTAACACGTGCGCAACCAAGGACGGCTGGATATCGACAGGCAATTGCGTCGATATGAGAAAACTTCGAAGGCCTGCCCAAAGTCTGGAGTCGTACGTTATGATTTCGCGCACGTAGCGAGGTGAGCTATCCCACTTGAAATGTTTCGAGCGGCATACGGGCTGTGGAACCTGCCATCCTGAAGCTCTGTTTCCCGACATCCCCTTCAATATCGCTTAGCGCCGCAAGGGCCGCATTGTGGTCAGAGCCTTGTAGTAACGCTAATCATCGCCCATACCGTTCATTACCTGTCTAATCACTATCGGAACCTCTCACAAACCACACTGACCAGTAACGATCCTGCAGAAGACGAACATCAAGAATTCCAGTTGCCGGTGCCTTCGGGTTACTGGTCATTCTTCGGACTCTATGATGGGCATAACGGCGGGAAAACCAGCAAATGGCTTGCTAGCAACATGATACCCGCTGTTTCCGGTGCGCTCGCCGACTTGTATTCTCGCCTTGTCAGCTCAGATCCGGCGCCTTCCGAGGACCAGACAATCCCGTCACCGCACTTCTCAGACGTCGAGCAAGTTTTCAAGACGACGTTCGCCCAGCTCGACGATGACATGTGCTATGCTCCACTTGAAACTGTCTTCGCTTCGAATTCAAGGGACGTTGCCGAAGATCTCCTTGGTCCAGCTTGTGCGGGTTCTTGCGCCCTACTGTCCTTCTACGATTCACATTCCCGACTGCTCCGCGTCGCACTGGCTGGAGACTCGCGCGCTGTGTTGGGGAGGCAGAGAGTGAATGACGAGGGCGACATCAAGTATGATGTCTACGTGCTCTCTACCGATCATAATGGCATCAACCAGACGGAAGTCGATCGCCTCGACGCCGAACATCCGGGGGAGAATGTCTGTCAGGGCGGTCGCGTCTTGGGCATGGGCATCTCCCGCGCGTTCGGCGACGCACGCTACAAGTGGGCTCGCGATCTTCAGGACAAGCTGAAGAAAGGGTACCTTGGGAAACTGCCCCTCCCCGAGGTCAAGACGCCCCCTTACCTCACGGCGGAACCGGACGTGACCGAGATCGAAGTGCAGCCGGGCGACTTCCTCATCATGGCCACTGACGGCCTCTGGGAGTGCCTGACGAGCGAGGAAGCCGTTGGTCTCGTTGGACTGTTCAAAGAGGCACAGGGCAACCGGTTCGGGACGCGCGAGCCCGTAGGCGGGTACCCTCCGGATGCTCTGCCGGTGTGGATGGCGGAACGGGACCACACTGTCCGGTACAAGCAGTGGGGTGCCGAGAAACGGTTCGTGATGACCGATGTTAACGCGGCTACGCACCTCCTTCGTAACGCACTTGGCGGTGCGGACAAGGACTTGACGGCGGCATTATTGGCCATGAAGACGCCGCGGTCGAGGAAGTATCGGTGCGTCATCTGACAGACTATAGCGTTTGCTACTGCTTACGGGTGTGCGATGTATTAGGGATGACATGACTGTCCTTGTGGTCTTCTTTGGTGAAGAGGATGGGCGCGGGTTGAGTGGGCGACGACCGAAGGACTGAGATGCTAATGATTTGGGAGTTATCTTGGTGTATCATATATTGCTGTCTGTTTTGCTTTCGTCGACGCGCACGCACAGGGTTCATAAGTTCAGATGATCTCCACTAACACCTATGTATATTGCTACGTGGTTTCTCCGGATGACTTGTTATCTCGCTTGATACCTAACTTATACCACTGCTCCCCAACCAGTCTCATCGCAATGTATCCTTATATCTCTACCTCTCACTTATACATGCACGCTGGTATTACCCAGTAGATTCCACGTGTGCGAACACTCATTTCGGCACTTTTAGCCCAACATTTAGCGGAGGTCAGCAGGGCTACTTACGAACGCGTGTCCCCCCTACGGCAGAAGAGACGAAGACAACCGACTGCCTGCGTATCGTACCGGTGCGAACGTCCCCACAGCGCACCGGTCCCGCCTTCTGCCGCCGGCTCTCCAGAGTGAGCGAACAACTGCTTTCTGTGCCTGCCACAGCGCATCCGAGCTAAACTTCGTCTCCCCCAGTTTCCAGGTGACCAGGTTAGATCCAAATGGGGATTGCATTCCATGCATTACACACGGCAGCAAATGTACCTCCACCAGGGACTTGCTGACATGCTCGTCCAACAGTTGAGGTGCACTGCCGGCTCTCAGCATTGTCCGGCGGGCAGGACATTTTCGCCGCTAGATGGCGTGCGCGTAACACCACGCCCAAACTAGTCTCATCTGAAGCAGCAAGCAGCCTCAAATGAGACGTGTCATCAAAATCCCACATTGCTGCAGGTCCCGTTGTTGGGTTCGCCCACTCCTCCAGTCCCGTGTGCTGCGAGAACGACACCGTTGTACGTGCTCGTTCCTCTTGCGATTGTATCTGGTATAGGGGGCGCCATCTCTATCGGCTGTCTTCCTGTCATGCTCTTTATATTTTTGACGGATTCTTGATGTAACACCCTACATGCTCGTAATGTCAAGCCATGTGCTACACCTCAGGGATGTTTTTTGTGCTCATGGCTCCTGAGCACCTTTTTACTCATGTGTAGTGGCGGATGAGGTCGTAGGCTAGATCGGGGCGTTGGCTGGTCAGTGCGGTCGGCGGGTGTCTAGGGCAGTCAAGTATTGGGCTACATCCGACAAGACTTGGAGTTGTCTGGACCTGAATGTCCGTAGCACCAGATTGGCACCATAGAATAGGTTCACTAAGGTGTGCTTGGAATACACGAACGCCGTGTAGCCTTTCTGAATGACGACATATAAGTAGATGAGATTGGCTAGCACCCGACCCGACGTTACAAGCCTCGCATGTAGCTCAACTGTCGGGCTTGTTACTGAGTTTATTGCTTGCGCTTGGTGTATCGTGCGGATCCCATAGACAGATGACTCTGAATTCAACCAGCATCATCATCACATCGGCACAAGATGAAGTAGACCAGTCTACGCCAATACATGTACAAGATAGGTACAGGCGAAAGTCCCATGGTCCCAGATAGGTCCGTATGTAGGTCCGTCTGACGCGACGGTATTTGCTCTCCATATCCATCAGGATCTCTCGGAGAGGCTGCCAACCCGCTCAGAGCAGGTTTGACGGCGGGCGTTCGACGATGGATCGCGCCAAGCCGATATCGGTCTCGGCGGCGGGAGGGCTCCAGCTTCGTCGTGCAGAGTGTGCGGGCGCAAGTCCCGGAGCTGACGGCGGGGAGGAGCGGCCAGCATAGAGGTGGAGGGAGTGTTCGCAAGGGAACAAACTCGAAGCGCGATGCGCTCATAGCCCAAAGAGCTTCTTCAGGCCGGACTTGACCATCTTGCGCTGGGCGGCGGCGTGCCCGTTCGAAGGACGAAGCGCCTGGCTGGCATCCTCGTACATGGTGTATGTGTCGCGCGGCGACTGGGTGGCTGAAAAGAGCGCAAATGCGTTCGGGCCGGATGGCGCAGAGGAGTAGAAAGTGTAGGCGGGAGAGATGGTGGAGTAAGACATCGTGGACGGATGATGGTTGGTTGTATAGCGAAGTCTGATAGACTGGAAAATCTCTGGGTGTGATGAGGTCGCTGGAAGACTGCCGGAATCCAAGTCCTCGTTATATACCAGTCAGATCCTAGCGGATTGCTACCATTAGCGAACCTGCAGTGATGTGCATGGAGGTGAAGTGCCAATCGACAAGCCTCGAGCGCGTGCGCACACAAGAGATTCCCATTCCCGGAAAGTTCCTGAGCTTAGATCAACACCAGCACACATTAAACAGCACAGGGAAGACCGTTTCCTAGATACCGCTCGCCCACAGACGCATCCCAGCCTGAAGCGAGCCAATGAAGCTAGAGGACGAGGCCGACAATGGCGGTCAAGAGCCGAGTTCTGGATAGACGCCATATATCACTGTTTGGTCGTCCCGTGTACAAATAGACTGGTATAGCGCCCGATTGAACTTGTCCTGTACCATGCGCATGCTAGTATGAGACAGTTTGCTCTAGAGTCTTTCACATTGTAGTGAGTACTTCAATCTCGTTCTTCTAAGGTCTGTGACTGTTATGCCTCAGGTTGTTGCTACAATGGTCTGATGACGCTCGTCCCTGATGTGAGGAACGGCACGTCCCGAAGTCCACTTGTCGCACTTGAGGGGCCTTTATGACTCACAGACATTGCTTCAGCGATATTGTACTAGGCTTGCTTCACAAATGCCGATCGGGCGAGCAGCATTCAATCGAGAGCGGAATGTCTTACCTCACCAGTGCGACCATGAAGATAGCATTGCATATACGGGACCTGTAACACGGCTGTCTCGGGCGAGTGCCTGCCGCACATGTTGGACCCTGTTTGCCAACTCCGGTCGGAATATAGTCCTCCGTCAGGCATCAGACTACAAAAGCAGAGTCAAAAAGAGTTGGACTCTGCACGAATCATTCCCTATCCTTTGAGATGTCTTCTACGACACCGCACGACATAAGCAACTCCCGTGTCTGGTTTAGTAAGTGCAGCACACGTAGACCTTTGCATCCAGGGTGCTGACACAGCGGTATCTTATTCAGTTACAGGTAGCAACCAAGGGCTTGGGAGGGCCCTTCTAGAGGCCGTTCTCGCCTCCGGGGAGCGTGCAGTCGCAACTACGCGCAGACCAGAAACGCTCTCTGAACTGTCACAGCGGTATCCTCTCTCACAACTACTTGTAGTTCCTCTTGACGTCACAGATGAAGAGCAGATCAAGGCTGCATTCAAGGCTACGAAGGACCAGTTCCGGCGCCTGGACGTTGTAGTCAACAATGCCGGATATGGGATCCAGAGCGAGATCGAAGGGACTCCAGAGCGCGACGCCAGGAGGATTGTTGAAACCCTCTTTTGGGGAGCGGTACACGTCACGAAGGAGGTTTGTCACAATTGTTGTCGAACTAGGTGTCATCCGTATGCATCTATCATTGGCAGGCCATTCCACTTTTGCGCGATATGAACCCGCCAGGTCATGGAGGCCGCATCCTCAATATTAGCTCAGTCGGTGGATACATCGGAAACGCCACGCGGGCCTTCTACAACGCCGGAAAATTCGGTTTGTCCTGCTCACACTGAATCGCATTTACACCCCTTGACCCTGCCGACATGTAGCACTCGAAGGGTTTACCGAAGCATTCACCAAGGAGATGCCGCCAGAGTGGAACATCCGCGGCATCATCATCCAGCCCGGCGGTTTTCGCACAGTATGGGGCGGCACCTCCATGCTAACGCTGCCCATGCCCCCCCAGTACGACCGGCCGGATTCCCCGTCCGTCAAGTTCCGCGCTTTGACGCAGAACGCTGCACCATTCATCGGCGACCCGCACAAAGCTGCGCTGGCAATCATGACGATCGCGTCCCTGCCGGATCCGCCGTTGAGGATCCAGCTGGGCACTGATGCGGCGCTGTCGGTCAGGAACAAGGCAATGAGGACGATCAGTGACACGGATAACTACGAGGAGTTGTCGCATTCGACGAATGCTGACGACGTGGACCGGGAAAAGGTGATGGAGAGGCTGAGGGGAGCTACTCGCGCAGACAACTATTAGGCCGTTGACGTTGACATACGTATACAATTGTGTAGGATGTCTGGATGAAACTTGCACGACCTGTGTTACTCTGAAGCGGACGTACGGCACGCGATCACGCAATGGTATGGAAAACAGTACAATTAGCGCTTCCCACACTGCTGCCACAAAATATTTTGGCGCCTGTATCCCGGTTTCTTCCATCCACCATGTATCAGGAGCCCATCCACGATCAGCTACGTATTTACCCTCGATGATCACGCCTTCGACTTCTGGTACCCATCTGGACATGCATATTGGAGGTCTCTCCCTAAGTGTCCCGAGTTGACCGAAAGCCAGTAACTATTTTGCATGACCATGCGCGTTTGAGTCGCATCACTGACGTCCCTCTCAGGTTCAGGTACTTTGCATGATTTTCCGGTGCATCTTGGTTCGCGTTTAGATGAGACATGGTTGTCGTAGATCGAGAGTGCTTGAAATTTCCCTCTGTGGTGCCAATGGAACACTTCTCCGAGCCGGGCTGTGCACAACAGTACCCGTGACCTGCTCATGCAGCACCACTCATTTGCGTCCGGTTTCCCTTTCGTGCGTAACGTCATCTTGGCCTGAATCGTCCAAGCCTGTCATCCAAGCCCGCCATCTCCGAGGCGGCTGTGGTCGAGGCCACCGAGTTCCCCGGCCGCTACGCGCAGAGGGGATGCCAAACGCCGCCCTTCGGATGCGGGGAGGGAGGACCGTTGTGTACGTGGTCAGCAAGACAGGGGAACGCATGCCCCGTGTAGAGCTGTGCGAGCGCAGAAGGAGATCGGTACTCTCCATCCTCCCCCCCGCAGCTTATCGCATTCGCATGCATTGACAGGATGGAAGTGCTTCGCGATACGATCATCTTTGGAGGCTGTGCGCCATTGAGGATTCGCAGCTGACTGAAGCTAGGTGCTCGCTTCGCTGTATCATGCGTGTTCTCCTTATGCCAGATTAGCGTCGCGCAGTGCTGACATATTGTACTCGCGCAGGTCTCAAGAAGTCGGAGGTTAGATTAGAAGCCGCTTACCTTCTACGAGAATGCGGTGAGCGCGAATCCATCTAAGTTCTCATCTTCAATCCTTCACTTGATCATCTGTTCGCAATCTGGGCGCTGACTAGGACACTCGTACTTGGTAGCCCTTCATTGCCCGGAACCCTCTCTTCCCTGTTGCGCGGTTTCGTGGAGCGCAGGGCCCCTAGATCGATGAAGTCCCCATCATCGAGACGCGAGCTCTCCGCACGTAAGCGGAAGCCGAGCGCATCCAACATTTCGCTCTTGCATCACTCGTTGTTGTAGCACAGAAGCGCTATACGGAGAGCCAGCGGGATGTTCACTCTCGCTGGGCACTCAAACTTCGACAGCAGGGTGTTCCCCTTCATCCCTGTCATATCTTGGTGGTCATGAGCGCTTGATTCGGTAACTCTTCTCTCCGGGAGGCTATTACTTGAGAAGACACGCACATTCTGACAAAACCCTACCAGGATTCGAGAAATCTAATGAACGCGGGCAGTGCACTCGTATTGAGGCGGGATGAGACATCGTGCTTCGATCTGTTTTGTAGGCTTGGTCTAATATGCTCGGCGCCTGCTGCAGACAAAGCACCACGCGCCTATCTGCAACAGTCTCCGAACCTCTTTGCCTGCCATTTAACCCGTCTAACACCCGCCATTACTTGTGTTGTCATAGCATAATATCTCAGTAAGATGTCAGCGATGCGGGCACTCACGTATGAGTGCCCGCATTGCTGAGTGCTCAGTGTCCGGAGTTGAGCGCGTGAGCGGCGCACTCCTAGTATCCCTGACATGAATGGTATCAAAAGAACTGTGCCGGCTGTGTTCGACGTGTTATTGACTACGTGTTGTGCTCACTCTCTTCTGCCTCTCATTCTACAGGCCAGGACCTCGCCTGCGCAGACACGAGTGTCTAAAACGGCTCAGCGGCTGAAGACGTGGTGCGATCCGGGTATAATCTGGAACACCGAAGGCATTCTCACGGAGAACGAGGCTGGGGGCCCGGAGGAGTAGTACACATGCGGCGAGGAAATATCGTTATGCCTTCATCTGCATTTGATCCACTGAGAATCGCGTAGCGCTAGTCATCGACTGCGCTAGCCGCTGGCAAGAAGTCTGGGATGGAGGCTTGTGAAAGCCACTTATACAAAGTACTCTTATTCTTGACAATGATGGTTCCAGCCTCTGACCGAAGACGCCTATGGTCTAGCATCATCCTGTCACTGTAGAGCGCAAGATAGAAGCCAATGACAAATAAGACGAGTCTTGTAGTCAAAAGTGAGCCCGTTCCTATGAATGCTCGGCACGCGCAAGGAACCCATCCGACTTCTCTCGGTAAACGTTCTTCTAACACAGGATTTGGAGACTTCCAAGGCCCTCACGCAGCAGGCACAGATATGACACGAAGGTATGTACGACCTTCAGTGTTGCGACCCACCAGTCCCGAAGCTCGATGCCGTCATCCTCAGGCATATGGCATGACGGTCGGAGTCGAAGGGTCCCTTCCGTACCCGGCAGTGTGTCATTCAATGGCCCCTAACGGTGATTGACTGACGGCCTTGTATCGCGCAGTTTGGGTTCTCTGCTCTACGCCAAAGCTTTGGGCCCGCGGCGCTGCCCTGGCTATAGAACAGCTTGCCATCACTGCCGTCAGCCCAATGCTCAACATGCGCAGCCACTTTTGCGCTCAGGGCGAGTGTGCGTGGGACCATCGATATCTGCCTGCCGTTGCACTCCTATCAAATGTAGTTGAGGGCGGGCGCAGCGGAACGCTGTGAGCGCCATCAGCTGAGCTGGTATCTCCGATTAGTGCTCGTCCGTCTGCCGAAGCTGAAGGATTCTGACAGAGGAAAGAGAGAGGTCAACTTTCGGCTAGACTGTGGTAGCACTGTGATTGTGGCCGGTGAGACCGTATGCGATGCGATCGACAAGGACGTCCGAGGCAGTGCGCAATGACTCAATGTGCTTAGCTCCTGCGCTGTTTGCGCCACTTTTCAGTTCATATCTTCAGCAAAGGGCAGAAGCCCCACAACGCTGATGCATAACATTTCCGTTGAGAACTCGCGTTGTTCTCGTCTCCAACGTTGGTTGGGGCCCTGCAAGGGCCACAGCCACATCGGGTACGTTGTGCGGGGAAAGTACTCCATGAGAGCGCATCAAGAAGTGCCAAGGGTTGCCTTCCCCGAGATAGCAGGATCAGCACAGCGGAAGAATGCGCGCGAGGGCCCTTGGGAGGATTGAATATTGAATGCTCACTTGTCCGAGATCGCCATTGTAAACTCCGATTCCTTCGAGAGATCAGAAGCGCCCACATAGGAGCCTCGATCTCTACCTTTTAGGGGGTCATGGACACATTGTTCTCGAAAAAGATTTAGCATTCCGCTCATAGGATGCCGAGAATCAGTGCGGTCTCAGATGTAGATGGACGGGACTTCCAGACGACTGTTCTATTGTAAGGATTGTCGCTTCTGAGTACAATTCGAGTTGTGCGGCGCGGCCGCGGAAGAAGCTCTGCGATCTGCCATGTATCAAGCATTCGTGATTAGAAGAGAGGTATTGGACAAGATGCAGATAAAGAAGTAGAAACAAATCCGAATCAATAGGCTATTGAGTAAGATAGAGGTGATGATGATCGTCCAAGACAGTTCTTATTGCACAAAGTAGAATGATCCCATGCACTGTCGTACGAAGTGCCCGATACATCAACGACTCTTAGCACAACCCGGGCAGAATCCGGCCATTTGAGGTGCTGTCAACAATATCCTGTGGGTATGACTGGAGATACGTTGAACAGTGAATACTTACAATACTGCTGCGGGTGTTGACGGCTACACGTATCAGAATGATCGTGAGCGGCGTGGCGTTGAGAGAGAAATGGGTGAGGCTCACAATTGCTTGCACGTTTGTTTGCAGCTCGCTCCGTGACAATTCTTCGGATGCGTAGGGCTGAATTTACAGCGCGGGCTGTCACATGTTATCTGGACGGCAAAAACTGTTCAGTCAGGTCTCACCCCGATGGGCATGCATTCAATACCTGTTGGTCGGGCTAGATAGACATCGTCTGTTAGACATGGAAGACCGACGCCCGTAACGTCCAACACTTGCCATAGGGTATACATGGCCACAGCTCTCATAGACGTAACAGATTCTGAAGGTAGAGATTTTTCGATTAGTTCAATGGCTAAATGGCTGACAAGTGAAAGACGCACTGGCGAAGGTAGCACATTTCGAACGAATGAGGTGAAGCGAGGAGTGCTCAGGAGTATCGAGTGTAGAGGTGAGTACTTTGGAAGGAGGGACGAACGCTGGTTTGTTGGAGGGCAGACATCAAGCTAGGCATGCTTTATACCTTGCGAAACATTCAGCGGCTCAACGGCTCACTGTTGGCGCGAATCTCTTCGTGAAGACTAGATGCTCTGTTGCTGCTGAACGCGGCCAAGCCGGACGGATGGCACTGTTCCGACCATGAACATATCTAGCCACACAGTCACAAGTAGGGATGAAGTCATGAACTAGATCTAGATCTTGGAATCCTATCAGGGGCACGCGGTTAGTAAACAGAGAGGAACGGTAGGACTCTTTGTGCGACCGGAACACGTAACGTCCTGGTCGGAGACTCACCCTGAGGGATCGGATGGGATTGATGCTAAAGGGGGTTCTGATGGCATCGCATTCGTAGTCGCTCAGGTGCAGTCCGACCAATTTGGGGATTCCAGCAAAAGGTGCTTGTCGGAACTCGACGCGCGAGCACGATGCTGGACGAGTAACGGGGGCTGGGTTTACAAACAAGCACGGTCAGGGCCGGACGAATTCATACCATGGTATACATAGACTTGGATAGGAGCACAGATATCCTGAAGAGTATGGAAAGCTTCGGGACACAGGACTGCGAAACCCCGCTTGAGAACTGGTGAGAGGAGGGATGGAAGAGGGCGCCTATGCGGCGCAAGGGGCCACGTGGAAGTATTCGTGCGAAGGCAGTACAGCCACCGCAAACCTATGTTTTTTCCAGTGTTCGCCTAGCTCATAACAACGATGTCCATAGGCAGCCAGCTACTCTGAGGCACGTTACAGCACCGCAGACCGAATACACCCCTGCATATGACCAGATATCCAAAGCAAAAGGTATATGTTGACGACAAGGTGAGTCTGACTCGTTCGCGTCATCGCTCGCCCTTCTCGGGCAGAATCCTCACCACACGGTACCCCTGATAGGATGTTGCGATAGATCTAGCTAAAAGTGTTGCCAATGTGGTGGAGGAAAAGACGCAGACAAAGATCAGAATGCATCGTGCGAAGGTGAGCCGTTCACTCCGCCGGACCCAGGAACAATCGTTTCTCCTACATTCGACTCAAGCGACTGCTTATGTGTACCAGGCATCTGCCAGAGTGGGCCCAGAACATCACGGCCACGCATCCACCGCGAAGGCAAAGGGAAGACTGGTATGTGATTGACCTGCATACAACAAAGACGCCATCCATCCTGATGACTTTGCTGTGATCGCAGGAGCGCGCGAAGGATACTGTCGCTGCGAAAAACGCAGCTACTAAGAGAGAAAAGGCTAGATTGCGCAAGAAGAACAAAATTTCTGACAGGCATGACGCTCAAAAAGATACCACAGCGTCCAGCGAAAAGCCTGTAGACTGCAATGGGAGCAAATCTATGAAGCGCGTGACGTTCGGATGAAGCGTCCAGCGTCAACTCACCGTTCTGTTGTTTCACTGGCCACCGGTCAGACCCTCCTGGTAACTAGTCCGTACGATGTCTGATTTCTCCCCGTGCGCAAGGGTCGACTAGGATTCGCCCCCATCAGTGTCGCTCTCCATCATGTGTAGGCCTCGTCCACTCATGTCGCGCCCGGCACAGCCTCGAGCGACACACAAGCCGGCGGTATCTCTTGCGGGGCCTTTCCAGACTTCGATCACGCGAGGAAAACAACCAGATCGGGCAATAAACGGGCGTTTGATCTCTTCCGGTTAGTCAAGTTCATGTATCTCCGTGCTCTACTACACAGTTGAGGACACGTCCGGTGCTCTCAGTTCCTGAGCGGTTCCAGTACTATGTGAGATCGTTTGAGCATCCAGAACCTCATCCAGTTCACTGAATCCAACGCTCTCCGATCGTAGAACACTGGAGGGTGTCTGCGTTGAGTGGCTGAAGTTTGGTGTGAGTTCCTCCGAGTTCCTCTTCCCTCGTGACTCTGCTCCTCGTGTCCCATGGAGTTACGGTGAGGCCCGGTGAATCGACTGGTCTCACATGCTACACACGCCGCCGCAAACAAGCCTAAAGGGGACAGGTAGAAGCCATACTCAGGACGCAAATTCCCTATCGGGGCTTCTCCGGTGAGTTGACACATAGCCGAGTCGACCTACTCCAGATGTTTCGCAAGCTTCCGTAGCGTATCCGTTCTAGCCACCCTATGCGTTACGCCGCCGTCTTACGTTTGAGCGTAGAATTTTTGACACACAGTTGCCCGGCATCGCAGACAGCACGGCGGTCCCTCGTACAAGCAGTGCTGGTGGATCCATTCGGTTGTTGCATGATGACTACACATGGCTCAGCAGGGGCCGTTAGGTGACGCATTGATTGGTATCGGGACACTTTTCGACCGTTGAAACACGAGTGATTTTGTGCGGTAGAGTACTATATCATGGTCCTGCAGGCATATGAGCTCATGCCATTGCTTTCCACGACATTGTTGACAGTTGACATATCCATTTTCCGCAGACATGAGTATCCTTGAGATCATCAGCAGAATTCATTCATATACAAGGAACATCTTCGCCATCATCAACAGATTTCGTTCACAATGTCATCGAAAGAAGCGTGCACTGAGATGAGCAAGGCATTTGACCGATCGGCGCCATCTTGAGCTTTGCAAGTGCGACGTCGTCGCCACAATCGAATGCCACTGCGCCTGAACACAACAGAAGCATCCAAAAGTCGGACATAGGATGGAACCCCATACCTCATACAACATAAGCTAAATTATGCAAGCTCTCGTAAGCCAAACATCCACGGATCCGCGTCCCGCACACGACATATTCCAACGAACCCATGGAAGCTGGTTAACCGTCCATACTGACCGCAGCAGCGTCCGGGCTTTCCCCCTGGGCCGCTGTCGACATGTCATAGTCCTGCCCCTCCTCCTCCGCGTCGAGGTCACGCAACCAGCCGTCGAAGTCCACATCGCGTTCGAGCAGTTCGCTGACCTGTTCGACATGCCCCTCTACGTCGAACTGGGAGCTGTAGCCCATGCCGAAGAAGCCACTGCTGCCCCGCATGAGACCGCCGCCGTTCTGCCCCTGGCCCTCGTTTGGAGCGGGTACAGACAGGAACGGATCATGAGCGCCGTCCACAGCGGACTGTGGCCGTTGTGAAGAGACGATCTGTGGTGCGAACGCGCTTGGGTGTTGTGTGAAACCCAATGGAGAGATGGGGGAGCGGGGCCGGTGTGCAACCGAACCGGGAGAACCCGACGAACCCGAAGCAGGAGAGGAGAAATACGTCTTCGTGGGAGATGGCTCTCGCTCGTTATCCGATATGACCGGAAGTTCAGTCTCATGATTAGGAAGCTCGTCGGTGTCTCTGACGACTGGCTTGTTGTGAGACACATTCTTGCGAGAGGGTGGTCTTGGCCGTGGCCTCGAGCGCCTTGAAGATGCCAATAAGTCGGTGAGAGTCGGTAAAGGATGCTCATTCGGAGTGGTTGGCACCGGAAGACCTTTTGCATTACCAAGGCCTTTGCTGCGTGATACAGGTGTGGCTGGGGCGGTTGGTAAGGAGGAGACAGGAGGGGGTGTCGAGGGCGGTACTAGCACCGAACCGCTTGAGGCCGGCTCCTGTGTCGCAGCTTGCGGCGTGGCATCCGTGCGCGCCCTCTTGGTCAGAAGGCTGCGTGCAGTAGCCAGTGATGGTGAAATGTTCATGCCGACGTAGTCAGGCGACGCAGTCGGGCGCCCCCGCTTGGCGGGTTTGCGTAGGGGTGACGCGAGCGGTTGGCTCGAAGACGCCTGCTGCGCATCCTGACGTTTCGGCCTGGCTGCGTCAAATGATTTGGCCGAGAGTGGTGAAGTTGGAGGAGAGCATGGAGCAATAGGTCGTGGTTTATGGCGCTTGTCGTTCAGGGGCGGCGTCGAGGTCTGCAACTGAGATGGGAAGGACGGCGGGAGGAAGGACTGAACGATACATTTGAGTGGCTTCCATCTTAGGAAGCAGATCCTGCACTCACCAGCTCCGGTACTTCTGTGATTTGGGCGACGACAGGCTGTTGGCAGACCCCTTGGGGATATTCTTGAGCGTCCGAGACTACAGACTCCTTGGCCTTGCTTGGAGCAGAGGGCACAGGCCCATCGCTGGGTGGGGTGGGGACATGCGCCGTTGACGGCACTCTGGGCCTGGTCGGAGCGCTGCTAGTCCATTTGCCAGACGTGGCACTGGGGCGTTTCACTACGGGGAATCCGAGAGAGACCTGGATCTTGCCTCCCTTGTCTGCGGTCTTACCCTTCTCTACACTAGCAGGGTGCAAGGAAGTGGCCGTCTCCGGCGACATAGGGACGTTATGGGCAGCTGCGACGGTAACGACCCGAGCCTGCCACCGCTCAACCTTCTCCCGAACGACTTCTGCTTTGCTGCTGGGACGCGACGGTGGCTCCGTTTCCTCCGTGACTCTGTCGAAATACTTGGACGTCTTCGATGCCTTCGCCGCGCTCTTACTCTTCAACCTACTCCTCTCTTCTTCGGCCGCCGCGGCTTCCTCCCACCTCCGCTGGTATGCTTCCCAGCCCTCCTCCGTCTCCGGCAACTCCCATTTAAATTTCTTGCCCACATTCACCTTCCTTCCGTCTCCTATCCGTACGCCGCACTCTGCAAGTATGTAACCCCTGCTGGTGCACCCGAGATGCGCGAAGCGCGAGACGTAGCCCCATTTCGGGTTCGTCGGGTCGCCGCTTGCGAGATTGACCAGGTGGGCCATGTGACTCCTCATCTCCGAGACGCGTTCCTCCGAGGTCGGAGACGAGGGCCTTGATGATGCGCACAATTCTTCCGGGAGAGATATGAAGTTCGCATGTCGTCGAGCAACGAGTTCGTTGAGGCTGATCTCGACCGAGGCAGACATAATGGAGGATGACGTTGACGTTGCCTCCATGCGGGGCAGTGACAGTCCAGTGATTCCAGTTAACACCCTTGTATGCGAATAGATTAGATGCTAAGCAAGAAACAGCCAAGTCGGAGGAGGGCAGGATACGTGGTTGCAGTCGTCCAAGAACAACATGCGATGGGCGGCAAACTGACGCTTCGAGACGCTCATCCTCCTTCTTACATAATCATACATCACAAGTATGAACTCAGTAGTCGCAGAGCTTCGGGTACAGTGTATGATCAACGAAGCAAGGAAAATTATATTCACCATGGACAAGAGAATAAGGTTATGATACATATGGTACATCTTAGGTAGTTCGTTCCCTTGGCGCGCTAACAAGTAGACAGGAGGTAGAATTATATGTCCAGTGCATAGCGCAAAGACGCCGTAAGTAAAAGATGCAGCCAAAAAGGTCTCGCGGATCATACATATCGCGTATCATATCATAGGAAGTCATCATCAACCATGGTCATAAACGCATCGCAGCCGGCGCGACGATCATCTTCGTGCCCAGCACCGTCGCGCCGGCATCGTCAGGACTGTCTCAAGATGCCGGGCTTCGAGATATGTTTCGGATACGAGGATAGGTTTGAGGCTCTGGGAGCGCGGTCGGCCATGCATCCGCACCAAAGCCCGACAGCAGAAATGGGAGGACTCGTGGCCTTCTGCCAGAAGCGCTATACCGCCATACTGTGTCGTCGAATGTCGTCGCCTTCGACCCTGCGTGCGCTCGATGCGTGCACGCTGCGTCGCCGCGCGTCTACACTGCCCCAGTTTCCGGTGCGTAAACCGCCGAACTCAGCATCAGCTTGAGTCCCCTCGCTCTCGTCCTCGTCTTCCGGAAGAGCATACGCCCGGGACTTCTTGCGTCGCGTGGTGCCCGCAAGCGCGGGCTCGGTTTCGGCATCTGCGGTGTTTGACGATGAGGATCGGGAAGAGAGAGGAAGAGGTTCCTCGTGTGCTCCCGAGGTGGAAGAGCGTTTCGACGTCGCCGACGCCGCTGACGGGACCGGATCGGGCTTACGCATTTTCCTACAGAACGTTACTCCTCACTGCACTTGACATTTGAACGTGGTCAAAGACTTACGTGTTGAGCTTTGGTTCCGCATAGTTGATGCTCTTTCGAACCCTGCGCTCACGCCCGGTCGTTGAGGGCTCCGACTCTGACTGAGGCGGAGGCTCAACAGGGCTTGAGGAGCGTGGCGTGAGCAGTTGTGATGGGGGCTTGGACAGAGGCGCAGGAGTCGTAGCGGGCGTGGAGAGGAAGTTGCGTGTGGAGGTGCTAGCATAGCTAGTAGCAGACGTGGGTGCATCAACGTCCGGCGTGTGCTGTCGGTCCCGATCTGCATCATGCAAACTTCGTGAGGTTGCAAGCTTGTCATGGTTGGTATACATACCTGACATCGTGTCAAGCAGGGGCAGGGTAGCACGACTCGCTTGAGCGTTGGTGACGTCTTTGAGCTTCGACTTACTGCCCTCAGGGACCTCGAGCGGCTCTTCTGTGACGCGCTTCTTGCGTTCGCGTGGTCGAGGTACCTCCGCGTACATATCGACGTCAGAGTCACGCACGCGGTCGCTCTCCCTGTCCTTCTTGCTCTTCCTCTTCGTCACGCTCTGAAGTATCGCCTCAACCTCGTCCTCATCGGGCTCTGCGGCAGCTATTTCGTCCTCTTCCAGGGCTCTGCGCATTGGCGAAGCGGGAGCGGGGCTTGGAGGGCGATCAAGACCGTCTGTAACGGTAGCCGTGATGGAGACGCTCGTCAGCAGACCACTCTGTCGCCGCGAGGGTCGTCGCTTTCCAGTCTTGTTCAGCTGATCATCGAAATCAAGCTGTATCACCTCGACAGCTGGTGGTGGTGACTTCGACAAGGGAACCGGCAGACGGCTCGTACTAGACATCCGTGACTTGGTCTTAGTGCGCTTCTTCGGCAGAGTCGGGCTGGACTCCCGTAGCTCGTCAACGTCAATGTCTTCCGGGGAAGACTGATTTGGCTCTTCGTCCTCCAAGAGAACCGGGATGGTCGGAGGACGAGCGATGCGGTTGGGCGGCGGGGAAACATTAGGATCAGGGATGGGACGCTTCGCGCGTGGAGGTTGAGGATGGGACTCCGGCGTAGAAGATCGTCCATGAGGGACACCAAAAGACTTTCGGATGAGTCCCAACTGTTTCATGAGAGTGTGTGTCTGTGGCGCATAGAAGAAGATATCAGTACACGCCTGCTACACTCCACAACATGATACAATGCATGGACTTGCATGACAGTGGTGCCTGATTGTGACCACTTATGTATCATGCTTAACATTGCAACGCGCTCTCCATACGGAGGGCTATCTCTTCGTGGTCAAGATCGTCCGGAGGCCGTGATAAAGACAAGACCGATGAGCGACATTGATAGCATCCCAATGGCATCTCTTGCCGATGTGGGGCATGCCAATTCTTACATAGCTGCTCACACGAGATGATCAAGACTTTGACATACATCCCCGTGTTGTCGCAGTCGTCGAGACATCGAGGTGAGGACCCACGCAGATATAGGCCGCCGCAGAGACGGCAACTATACGAGCAGGGACTGCTGTCGAAGTCGCCACGCAGATAGCCATTTTCATGCCGAAGGCTGCAAGGGATGTTCTTGATGGGCACTCGGCTTTGACGTGTCTATCAAGAACCCAAGGCGGAGCTCAGGAGAGACGATCGGGGGACTCACTTCGCGTGGAACATGTGCAGGGGGCAATATAGCAAGGCAGAAGATATGAAGGGCGTGCTCACCGCGGACTCCGTATCTGCCAAGATCTTCCTCGACTTCTCCCTCTCCTTCTTCAACTGCGATGTGAGTGCTATTTCCGAGGCCCGGAGTCGGAGGTTCTCGACATAGAGGGTAGAAATCTGGGCCTGGAGTTCTTCAATCCGCGCGCTCAGGGTCGAGTTCAACCTAGTTGCCCAGCCACACTCGGTGTTAGCGTTCATTTGGCTATAGCGGCCACACGCACTTTGTGATGTGCTTGTTGGCAAGGAGAAATTTCTTCTTGACTGAGAAGGGATACGGCATGGGAGTATGAGTGTGAGATCGCACGGGGCGGAGAACCACAAGCAGCGGGCACACGCACAGTTCTCGAACTCGAGGAGGGTGTCGTTCTGGCGAACATCGATGGAAACACGCGATTGTCGTCTGCTCATCGCGGGCGGCGGCGAGCAAGTAGTCCGGGGTGCAGCGAGGCGGTGGTCGTGGTGGTCGTGGAGGTCGCTCGGTCGTTGTTCGACTTCTCATCGCGTGGACTGCATCGCGACACAATCGCTCTGGCGCGTGGAGCCTGGCTCGCTAGTTCATTTTCGAGCTGGACTTGGCTCAAGCGCTTATGACAAAGTGAACCAAAGAGGGGGGCTATCCTCGGCTGCTGTGACTCAAGTGCGTCCTTGCTCATTGACCACCACCGCCGCCGTCCTCGTCGACAACGAGCCTTTCTTGTCATCGTGCGGTGCTCCGTAAACCACAATCACTCGATATAAAACATGACTAACGTCTCATCAGGGTCTAAGCGTGTGTGGGAGGGGCCTAACGACACCGATTCGCACAAAAGACCTCGTGAGGACCACCGGGATTGGAGGGATGTCCATTTGGACTCTCCTCGTCGGAAAGGACCACCCCCTAGCCGGAGGGATTCAGAAGATAGAGATAGGAGAGGAAACGGAGATAGGCGACCCCCGCGTGGAGACTACAGACCTCTCAGCAGAGACCGCGACTACGACAAGAGACGGCCTCGGGACTACAGCCGAGACAGGGACAGAAGAGATGACAGGGGAAAAGATCGTGACAGAGAAAGGGATCGCAGCCGCGGTGAGCGCAGAGGCGATGGCTCTCGGAGGGACAGCAGTCGCGGCAGCGACAGACGTCGGGACGACCATCATCGCATTCGACGTCCTTCCCCTCCCCATACACGAGAGAGGCACCTAAATGATATCTCCGGCACGCATACGCAGCCAAACAGAGTTCAGGACGAGAGAGAAGAAGGAGAGTGAGTGTCGTTGCTTAACACTGTTGTTTGAGATGCGTCCGCTAATGCGTCATGCCAGGATCTCCCCCAGACCCAGCCAAGAGTACGTGGGGTTCCCCAATATCTCACCTATTGACCAATCTCTGATGCATATATGCGTGTTACGATAGGGTATCGCCTCGATCTCGTCGGGGACCTTCTCCCCCTCTGTCGAAGGCGGCACGTCAATCTGATGCTCAAGCAAAGCAGGAGGCCCCCTCACAGCCTCAGGCAGCCTCCGAGCCGGAGATGGAGCTGGAGCTTCCGCGTTCGCCTCCCCCCGTTCAGGAGACGCTCGCAGCACGTCGTGCAAAACGTCAAGCTATCTTAGCCAAGTACGCCGGCATTGCAAGCACTAGTCAGGGACCGACGCCTAGTCCAGGACCTAGCAGTGCGGTCGACCCGCCTCCCGCGACGCCTGATGTTTCTAATTTTCCATCTCAGGCCCACAGCGCCGTTGGAAGCCCTGGTCCCTCGGGGTCCGTACGCGGAGAATCTGTGCGCGCAGCGAGTGCTGGTGAGTTCGTTCATGTTGATGTGCCGCCATTCTGGGCGGTTGTTATCGGCTTCTTCAAAACCTCTACATCGTCGAGTTTATCGTCGCACTTATCGTGACCCGTTGCTTCAACGCATCTCTCCGCGCCCCGCGATATGATTTGTTCTGACCATCCGATGTTCCCACTAGCGCCGGAGAAGCGCGAAACGGCGTCTGCGTCACCTACGCCTGGTATGTTCTCGCTCGCGAAAGGTAACGAGGAAGAGGAGGTGCAAGCGAAGGCGCAGCAAGATGGTGGAGGCGAACAGGTCTCCGCTGCTGACTACGACCCAAGCCTTGATCGCCGCGAGGACGAGCACAAGCGCGTCTGGGGTACCAAGGAGGATTCGCAAGATGTCGAGATGATCGAGGAGGAAGAGGAAGAGGAAGACGTAGACGATATGTTCGCCGTCGCGACCACGGAGAAGAAGAAGGTGAGGAAGGTGCAGCGTGTGGTCGTAAGTGTTCTCCAGATCCTCAAACGGTGGACGCTGATGGTGTTTCACCTACATCGCAGAAACCGGCTGCCCCAGCTATCATCACGTCCACGCTTGATTCCGCCGCCGATTCTGAGGGATACTATCAAGTCATCCTGGGCGAGCAGCTCGATGGTGGGCGATACCAGGTCTTCTCTTCCCTCGGTAAAGGCATGTTCGCGAATGTCGTCAGAGCGCGCGTGCTTCAAGGGGACGCGAATGAAGTAGGGAAGGAGGTGGCGATCAAGATCGTGCGGTGCCAGGAGTCGATGTACGTTACCCACCTCTTTCCTGCTCATATAGGTTGATTGACTCTCGTCTTAGGTTCAAGGCTGGCTTGAAGGAGACCCAGATCCTCAACAAGCTGAAGCAAGCGGACCCAGAGGACAAGAAGCATATCGTTCGACTCGAGCGGACTTTTGAGCATCGGGGCCATTTGTGCCTTGTGTTCGAGTCATTGAGGTGTGCTATCCCGTTACATCATCTATGGTCTTCTAAATGCATGCTGATCGTCGTCGACTATAGCATGAACCTCCGTGAAGTTGTTAAGCGCTTTGGGAAAGACGTTGGATTGAATATCCAGGCCGTTCGAGCGTACGCCCACCAACTGTTTCTGTCGTTGAGTCTGTTACGCAAATGCAACATCATGCATGCGGACATTAAACCGGATAACATCCTGGTCCGTCAATATCACTTGCCTTCATGCTCGGACATGTTAGTTGACGATCATCGCACCCTTCTAGGTCAACGAGCAGAAGACACTACTCAAGCTGTGCGACTTGGGTTCCGCTTCCGATGCCTCTGAGAACGATATAACTCCTTATCTTGTGTCCCGATTCTATCGCGCACCTGAGATCAGTACGTCACACCCAACATGTGCTGATAGGCGTGCTTCTGTGTGCTGATAGTTACATCTCATTTAAGTCATGGGCCACCCCTACGACCCCGCCATAGACATCTGGTCGATCGGCTGCACGCTTTACGAGCTGTACACCGGCAAGATCTTGTTCCCGGGCCGGTCGAATAACCAGATGCTGCTGCTAATGATGGAACTGAAAGGACGATTCAACCAGAAGATGATAAAGCGGGCCAAATTTGGTGATATGTACTTCGACGAGCTTGGTGCGTTTCTGAGCGTTGAACATGATCGCGTAACAGGATTGGTGCGTATTCTTGGCTCCTGTCTGGGTTTTGAACGTCTTATACTAATTGCATCCATGTTCTTCGCGTCTCTCACAGGATGCCGTCCGAAAGGTTCACATCACGAAGCCAACGCGGGATCTCCGGCAGCGAGTCCTGCCTCCGAGCTCGGTGAAGCTCAAGGATGAGGAGAACAAGCTGCTTCTATCATTCGTGGATCTGTTGGACAAGTGCCTCGCTCTGGACCCTTTGAAGCGGATCACGCCCAAAGAGGCGTTAGTGCATCCTTTCATTCGTGGCTAGTCTAGCGTGACCACAGGTCTCAGATAAAGATTGCTGTGGGCTGGTGCACTGGACACAATCCATTTGTTCCCATAGTGTTCGTGTGCGATGAGTAATGTACATCGATGCGAAGACATGGTCAATCAAAGATACGTGTCACCCTGCGTGTACTGCTACATAATGCCTAGGCCTGTTACCTGAGCATGTCATCAATGATCCGAGTTCCGATTTGCGTTCTTGTCGTCATTCCTTCCTCCTAACGTAGGTGCGGCACGGGTGGAAAAGCCTTCTTCCTGGACTCCGCGTCGTGCGTATTGGATGGTGACAGGGGTGGTGGCGGTGGTAGGAGGTCAGATGAGCGACATATTTGAGGTCATGACTGACAGAACTGATGTCCGGCGCCCGTATCCAGTTACAGAAAGCCAAGCTGCTCCAACCTCCTGATTTCGACACCCCCGAGCGCGGCTTCGCGAGGAGCAAGACACTTTCCCCGCATTGGCGGCGGCAGAATTGAAGTACCGCACAGCTGACTAGCATCGCGGTCCTCGGTGGCCCGTTGTGTGGGACCTTGGCGGGGTATGCGAACTCCTTATAACGGGCGTGGACCATCTGCACGACTGCAGGAAGTGCTCGCCCACATCTCACACTCAGACCCGGCAGGCGTGGACCCTTCTCAGGCCTTATCATCGACAATGACGACGACGCGCAAGCTGCCCGCGTTCGACGAGCTACCGACCTTCAAGGAGTTCACGGGATGCGCATGGGAGGTGTGGGGAAAGGACGACCAGCTTGGTACTGTAAATCTGTTGACACCGGAGGTGGTGAAGGAGGCGTCTAAGGAGATCAAGTACGTTCCTCCCCCGCATTCCCCCTGGGGCATTTTTGGTCAGATCGCTGGAGATCTGCTAACGACATCCCTCTCGTGTGCCTGCAGGACTGGCAAGTCGATCGCTTTGAACTGGTGTGTACACCCCACAGCGGAGATCGCCGCTTTTTATTGTGCCTGGAGTACTGACTCTGACTCGGAATACGCGCGGAATGAACGTGTTGTCGACAGGCCTGTCAACTTCCCCAACAAGGTATTGTCAAATCAGACTCCCGGTGCATCGTATCTTACATACATGTCCACATCAGCCCGTGTTCGGTCGCAAGCAACCAGAGCATGAAGTCATCTACAAGGCTGAGTTCGGCGCGGTGCAGGACGATCATCTCCACATTGTGAGCGCCTGAAGGGACGATGGATATCGAACCTGGCTAATCCGTCTGATAGAACACTCAATCGGGTACCCAGTGGGATGGCCTGAAGCACTTCGGTCTTCTGCATCATAGCTTGTTTTACCAAAACACTCCTGCGTTGTCCTTCAAGACCGGCGCCATCTCCTTTCCCGACCCTAACAATATCGACCCTGAGGTCATCAAGCTCGGTATCCACAGTACGTCCCCCTCGCTTGCCATCCCCTCCCCATCGAGTATTCACTGACCGCGATGTCTACGCAGACTGGGCGCAGCACGGTATCTGCGGCCGTGGCGTCCTGCTTGACCTCGTCAAGTACTACACCGAGAAGCATGGCAAGCTGCCGTACGACCCGTTCACTACGCACGCCATCCCGCTCGAGGACTTGCAAGCCGCCGCGAAGGCGCAGGGCGTCACATTCCAGCCCGCGGACATCCTGATCCTCCGCGTGGGCTTCATGCTGCGCTACTACGGCGCGACGCAGGAGGAGCGCGACGGGCTCCCTGACAAGCCCGAGACATTGTGAGTCAGGCTGAGACCGAACGCTGCGAGGGGCCTTTACTGAAATGCAAACGGTCTTGGGGACACAGCGCGGGCATCGAGCAGAGCGAGGACATGAAACGCTTCCTGTGGGACAACCACTTCGCGGCCATCGCGTCTGACCAGCCCTCTCTCGAGGTAATCCCCTGTCGTCATCTCTATGTCTTGTCCGAGCCCGCTGACGAACGTGTCATACCTCAACAGCGCTGGCCCCCTCCGGAGGGTGTCCGTCACTTGCACTCGACTCTCCTCGGGTATGTTCTTCCTGCCCTTATCTGACGAGATGTACCGTGGACTGACGTCAACGCATCTACGCCGTCTCGCGTCGACGTCTTGACTAGGCTCTGGGGGATGCCGATTGGCGAGTTCTTCGACCTTGAGGCGCTTGCGAAGCACTGTGCCGAGACCGGTCGCTACACGTTCTTCTTCTCTTCGTGGCCGCTCAACGTGTAAGCAACGACGCAGTTTCAATTTCGCTGAGAGAGCCACTGACCAGGCTATCGTTTCTGCAGCCTCGGTGGTGTCGCCAGCCCACCCAACGCTGCCGTGAGTAATCCATATGTCATGTTAGCCGCATGCTAGATATTTACGAGATCATTCTAGGCGTACTTCTGATCAACTCCAAATGAATGAAGTTCTGACGTGTGTATTGAGTACTCGACGATGTAATGTCATCTCGTTTGTGTACCAGTAGAGTTCACCCCAAGATCGTTAGTAAAACACTGTCGTTTGTGCCTGGACGATATTCTTCTATTTGAAGAAGACTTTGGTATATTGCTACAAGCGAGCGGTCTATCCGAGAACGTAAGGGTATAACGAGAACCATGTTCACACAACCCATGTCGTCCGATTGCTCCGTGAATCACCTGTGCCATCTTCATGCTAGTGGCCTCAACATATAGCGTGTCTTCTCGCCTGTGGTTTTCTAGCGCGTCCCTGCGTTGAGAGGGTGCGCGACTTGAGAGATGCCACGGTGGGGGCCGCGATCAACGCCTCGCCGAACCCCCAATCACCTCGTCCTCGAGGTCCATCCCGCCATCCGAGCTTTCGTACGTCGACAAGCGCCTCCTGTGGGATCGCTTTGGCAGCAATGGCGACACGGGCTCGTCGTCATCGGACTCGTCGGACTCGGTCGTTACCGCGCTCGTGTCCTGGGATGCCGAGAGTTCCTCTGCGAGCTGCGCAGGAGTCGGGTTCGGGTTCGGAAGCTCGGCGATGGAGCGAGGGCGAGGGCGAGGTTGGTCCAGGATCTTGTCAGGAATCTAGCCAACGAAGAGACTCAGTGGACGAAGGCGTGTAAGCGTTTTCATACAGGATGAGGACGGCACTTACCGGCAAGCGAACGAGGTATGCCGCGAGCGTAGCGATAGCTGCAAAGATGAAGACTGCTCGCAAGCTAATTGCATAAGAGTCGCGGGCGGCGCGCTGCAGATGGGGCGGCAGCTGTGCAACGAGTGTCGAGGAATGGCGGATCTTGCTGATCATCTGTATATATGCGCGTGAGCGCCCAGATGAAGCGTAGGGATGATATGCTATACGAACCTCTTCAGCGTCGGGGGTGTGGATGCGCTTGTGCAGCTCCACATTGAGGATCGACTGGAAAAGCGCGGCCGAAATGGCAACACCACCGACTTGGCCTATTCCACGGAAGAGTTGACCGAACCCAGTGCCGACGGCCATAGCATCCGCTGTGTATTAGTTTAGTCATGTGTGTCTGTTGTCCTGAAGAGCAAGCTACTTACGGGGTACATGCGCCAAAAGGGCGACTGCGGAATATCAAAAGTCAATACGCTGAGACTTCGAGGTCGCATTTGCTACGCACTCAACATGGTCTGCAGGACGACTGCATTGCCGAAGCCCAGAGGTATCTGTACCCGAAATCAGCGCATATAGTCACCTCAGGAAGAGACTATACTTGCGATACTGAGCCACAATTGTGCAGGTGACGAGTTCTCGTGCATCAAGGCAAGTAGAATTGCAGCCACGAACGGGAAGATACCGAATATCAGATTGAGCTTCCTGTACTTCCCCGTGCGATGCATGACCCATCTACAAATAGCTATGTCAGCGCGGTCGCTCGAGTGCAGTTGATGGTGACGCTACTCACCCAGCGAAGAGAGAACCACAGGACACGGAGATGCCATTGGGAATGAGATGCGCACCTATACGGGAACAGAACTTCAAACTTGTGTACCAGCGACAGTCTTCGCAGACAGGAACGCGCACCAGCTTCGCTCGCACTCGTGAGTAAGACCGTCTGGAACCACGTGGGGAAGTTATACATAACGGTGAAGTTGCACGTTGCGACGAGGAAGTTGCTGATGCCGACCAGGACCGGAATCTTTTCCTTGAGCAGGAAGGGCGCCAGGATCGGCTCGGGCGCAATGCGCAGTTCGACGTAAACGAAAAGCAACGCAAAGACGATGGAAGTGATGAGAGGAGCGTAGACAGCCGGGGACGACCACTGTAAGCAAATGGTATATCAGACGGGCGATGCGCGCCGGAGGAATGGAGATGCGTACCGGGTGCTCCTCGCTAAAGCGCATGCTGAGGAAGACGAGGAAAGCAAGGACCTGGCTCATAATGTTAGCCCATGTTTGGTAGGCGGTACCGCTCAAGCCTTACCGTAACGAGTAGCGTCGCACTTCCACCGTAGTCAATCCTCTTGAGTACTTCCTTCGTGCTCTTACTCCTTCCCTGATGCATTGGACGAATGAGTCTCTACTGCCTGGTCATCGACAGTTGTGCCGACGTACAGGTGTCACATAATGCAGGTTCCAGGCAGTCAAAGCGAACGAGATGGCAAAGAGCGGCATCTGCAGAAGGAACGCCCATCGCCAACCCAAGCTAGGAACGGAACATCAGATGGCGTCGGAGATATGGCGAAGCGTCATGACGCACCGATCGGCTATGAATCCACCGAGAGGACCACCAAGACCCATTCCCATCTGGATGGAGATGGTAAGTCGCGATAGATATCCCAAGAGTAGCTGCGTACACTGTTGAAGACTGCCGCGACTCCTTGCGTCAAGCCACGGTTCTGCACATGTGGATTAGATCATTAGGCTGGATCCATGAAAAGAGCCTCACGTACCCTCAGACTGTACATGTCACTTGTCACAATCCTGAAGACAGCCATTAGCGTGAGGTTCGACGCGCTCCGTACACTTCACGGTACGTACGTTGCTGTCGTGAAAATGCCTCCACCTCCTAATCCACCCAGCTAGTTCAGCATCAGCATAGGAAGGCGGCGAGAGAACGAGAAGCGCGTACAAATCTGGCAGCGATGAGTGTCTCCATGTTAGTTGACAATCCACAAGCCAACGTTCCGAGAGCCGCAAAGAAGACAGCGGTTTGGTTTGCTCCTCGGCGGCCCATGACATTCGAGAGGCGTCCGTAAAGCGGCGTGAAGGTACATGTTGCGAGCAGGTACCTGTGTATGTCAGTGAACACGCTGGTGCTGCTAATTACGGTCTTGTTGCCTTCACGTACGCAGTACCCAGCCAGCTCGCTTGGTGGGCTTTGTTGAACTCGGAAGAAATAGATGGCAGCACTCAAATGGATTGTTCAGATGAGAACTCTCAACATATATGCGAAGTGCTCACGGGTGGCAACCAAAGTCGCTATGCCACGGACTAAGATGTCAAACTTATTTGAACCAGCCAACGTGCGCACATACTGTTCAATGACTGCAATATGATTTGTAGGTTGGAACTGTGAGCATTTTAGTAAGGATATGTAGGGGAACTACTACACACAGATAGGAAAGTACCGGCCCAGATGCCTGCCAGAATGCCATAGCGAGTGGACTTGGATATTTCCATCGGACCAAGACCGCGAGGCTTATTCGCACCGATAGGCTGCGGAGACTCTGTTCGCGGAATCAAAGGATCGCTTTCCAATGCCATGTTGAGCTTCTCTTGTGACTATGGACAACAGAAGAACGTGTATGGAGGTTGAGGTATCAACAAAAGGAACGATTATATTCTGGTATCCCCAAGTCGAGTGGGATCCACGACGTGTATCGAAAAGGACACGTGTAGAATATGAGGACAAGAGCATGAGGAGAGGGAATCAGCATGTGAGTCGTGCATATGCATTGCGCAGCCAACATACCACGGTGATGATGCCATACGACCACTTGCAGCCGCTCACACACAAGAATACGAAGCCGTTTTCGCGCACTTGAGCACAGAAGCCAGAACTGCCTCAGCACCGGAGGAGGGAGGAACAGCGACGATGGTAGTGCAAGAGTCAACGTCGTGGACAATAATGACGATGTACTTGAGAGGCTGCATTTTCGGGGTGCCGAGCGGTCCGAGTCTCGGCAGAAATGGCGGCCCCCGAAGGCGCGCCGGGCGGCTGCCGCGCAGTTCCAAGCGCTATCCACTGCGGAGAAAGTCGCTGCACGGCATTGATTCAAAGACTGGCTAATCGACCCGATGTTCAGTACAGTGCAGTCTGGCCCATTAGTGTTACAAAAAGATATTAAGCTACATGAAGACCAGTTTCACTACGAAGGCCACTGCCGCATACTCCGCTTTCGGAAAGATAACTACTCGAGCGCCCAACAATCCAGAAATTTGAGATCCCAACGTCGACGTTTCAGGCACTCGGGCGGGAGGGCTTGTCTCGAGGCCATCCGCTCTTCTGCCACCGCCGAACACAAGCCGTGTCAGGTGACATCCCGTCTGCGAGTACGGACAGTTAGGGATAGCCTGAGGGGAATGATTCGCAATCGACAATGAGGACCAGAGAATGGGCGCATGGTAGAAGTGAGGAGGCCAAAGACGAAGAAGACATGAAGTTGCTCGCGAACGCACAAGCTTCGACTTCCGTCAGCTCTGTGGACATGAGTACAAGGCGGAGAAAAACGGACCCGTGCAACCGCTGAAGTTGCTCTCGAACCGGCCAGGAATCAGGGTAAAAAATGGCATTCTTGTACTTCTTCTGAATCTGGGTTAGGAGCCACCATCCAGGAGTACAATACGTTACGTGATTGCTGGTCGAACCGCCTTTGTTGTGGCGAGAGTGGAGTTGGCCGACGATGTAAGCTTTGCCGTCCTTCATGTGCCAGACGAAAGAGCCCGAGTCTCTTTTGGCAGAGAAGGCTTCGACGGCCTTGTTGCCAGAGTTGTAAATGGTGAGCTCCATGGATTCGACGCCAACTGCGTTGCGAACGAACGATTCGAGGCCGGCATAATGTCCGACAGTGAGGCCGGTGGTGTTCCCGTCCTTTCCGACCATAAGGCAACATTGGCCTTGACTATCGAACTCGGTAGGGACGGCGAGGTCCTCCTTGGTAGCACAGCCATGGATCTTGAGCTTCCCCTCTTCGGGATACTTGAACGCGGTCCGACCCCCCGCACCCGGATGAAACATATCCCTGAGCTGTAGCGGAGTATACTTGGATCCTGCAAGAGTTCAATTTCGTCAGACGATGTGACTGCGAGAAAGATCGGTCCAAACGCACCGAGATCAACCACGTTGCCTTCAAAGGCACCTTTGACCTTCGCCTCCGCAGCCAAAACACACCCCAGTCGGCGGTGTATCCAGTGCGACCTTCGTCAACCTTGATGGCTGGAGCGTATACGACGTGGCCAATGTTGCGTCGGAGCTTGAGATCGATCCAGGATTTGGTCACTTCGTCGTGGAGCTGCTCGAGACCGGCAATGGCTTCGTTCTCTTCATCCAGCTTGCCTCGAATCCACCTTTTCCGCGCTCGGGGTCGTGGCCTCCACTCGCTTGCAGCCTGATTAAATCTTCGGCGTAGGGGTGAGCCATGTAGACGTGGGCAGCAACGGCATTGGTGATCTCGTCGAGGCCGCGCTGGAAGCGGCGCATACTACATACGCGTACGTGGTTCTTGGCTGCGCCGCGCTTGTACGAGAAATTGAGGGCGGTATTCTTGCGTAGAACGTGGCAATTGCTGAGCCCGTAGACTTTGTCGCTGGGCTTACCGTCGTCACCTGTGCCTTCGGTAAACCACAGGGTGAGTGTGCCCTGGGAATCTTCTTCTTCCATATCTGCGGCGGTAAGGGGGACGCAGTGAAGAGCAGTAAGGAAGCGGCGGACGTAGTGGGTGGGATCAAAGCTGTCGGCATGTTGTAGGAGTGGGGAGCCTGCCAACCTCTGCGCGACTGCCTCCCTCCATTCTACTACAAACCCGTCGACGCCGTTCTTCCGCAGAAGATCAAGGATCTGCTGAGAGACATCGTGGGCTGTGTCGGGCTGTGTCGGGGGGGGGGCAGAACCGGGAAGGACGCCAATCCAGATGACGACCGGTCCGAGACTCCCCATGTCCTCCTCTCCCAACGGACCGTGTGTGTCAAATCGGGCCGTGTCTATGGACGACCACTGGATGTTCCGCACCTTGACGATGTCGCGAACTTGGGGACCGATAGCACCCCAGATTTGATTCAGCGGGGTATTGAAGACTCCGCGGAGTGACTTGACGGGGATATGGGGGAACCTGTCATCAGGCTTGGGGAATGGCGTGGTGAAGTAGTCGGAACGGTAGACGAGTACCGGGTGGTCGTCGTCTCCGGTGATGCCGTTGTAATAGGAGGCTCTCTCGTAAGCGTCGGAGCCATGCTCAGACACAACGGTCGTCTCGTCGACGAGGCTAAGGGAGGGTGAATTAGAAGTGATGAGCCGATTGAGGCTGGGGAGCCGGGCAAGGGACGCGAGCTAGGGCCCCTGTATTGAGGACCCTAGGCGTTTACACACTCAAGGGCGAACGGGGAGAGCTCTGGACGGAAGGTGGTAAGTGCGCTATAGACGCAGAAAGATTGTGAGGACTCGCTTAGCAACTCCGGGTAATCCTTCAAGGTTTGAACCGCCTGCGCAGCGAACTTGGAGATTCCTATAGGAGGAATGGTGAATCCGACATATACTGTGCAGTGAATTGATACGGAAAGGACGAGCGAGAGAACCGAGCGGGAGTGGGAATGAAGTGACAGAAGACAGGGATGAACGAGAGGGACGAACTAGACCCCCTCTCCGGGCCTGTAGAGATGAACCCCTCTCGGGGTGTCTCCGTCCGGCCCTTCTCGGGATAACTAGCTAGCGCTAATGACACTGGAAGATGTGCTATTGTAAGAATGGATAATGGGACTCGCCTTCACCGAGTAGGCCTGCTTTGCTCACCTCCTCCTCGATGAGTGGGAAAGCTTCGAAAAAGTCAGATGGAATAGACAGGAAAACATAGGACATACTAAAAGGACAGTGTCGATTGAGTGATGGTTGCGAATGGAGACGCAGGTTGGTTTGGGGACGAGGTGAAGTGAAGGGCGCTGTGGCGTCCTGCGCCGTCTAAAATATGGTTAGAGATGCATCGAGGTTTGCTAGCGGGTCAGTTGACCCGGGTCCCTACTGGACAGTTGGACTCTTTTCGCAGGCGGATCGGTGAGGTGGTTCAATTCGTAAGGGCCCCAGGTTCAGCTCCAACAGGGGGAGCACTAGTGGCATCGACCACCCATAAGGAAGAGAGCCTGGCCGTCACACTCGTTCAGACAACACCAAGATTTGGTCTGGTTCTGAATTGCCTGCGAAAAGAGGCTACTTGGTGCGTTGTTTGCAGACGGACGGCCAAACAGAGACCCACGGCGTCTGTGAGGTGCTCGGCTCTTGACCTCCATTGTCGACCTCATCCTCGACATTCATTGGCTTCCCTTCAGCTAGTATGCATCTGTGGGCGACCTGTATCTTGGAAACAGCCTCTTCTGTGCTGGCTGGTGTGTACTTATGTTGACCTAGGCGTGAACACTTGCCGGGAAAGGGAATCCCTTGTGTGCGCACATGCTCGGGATTCGTCAATTGCCACTTCGCCTTCATGCTATTCGTGCAAGGTCCCTAATGGCAGCGATCTTCCAGGACATGTCTGGTATATAACGGGGTACTACTGGCACTCAAGTCAGCATCAGCAGCCAGTCCTCCAGCGACTTCATCACTCAGAAAGCTTCCAGCCTTCGCTCATACTACACCCGATATCCTCCGTCGAAGATGTCTTACTCTACCATGGCCCCCGCCTACACCTTCTACTCTTCTGTGCCATCCGCACCGAACGCATTTGCGCTCTTTGGGACCACGGAGTCGCCGCGCGACACATACAACATGTACGATGATGCACGCCAGGTGCTGCGTCCTTCGCACGGGCGGGTCGCTCAGGCCAAGACGAACAAATCCGGGCTGAAGAAGCTGTTCGGGCTGTAGAGGCATCGTCTTCTGCTTGCGACTCATCGTGGTCGCCCCATTACCCTCGAAACCGCCGCGTCGCGGCAAATACGCATCCACGTGAAGCCGAAGTCGCGTCCCCTTCCATGCGCAACCCACACGGATATCCCTCCCTCTACCCGTCCTCTCTGCTCCGCACAACACAATCACGTACCTATGCAGTGCCAGGTTCGCGCTGTACGCGTCCGCGCCAGACACCGCCGGAAACCTCGCTTCGTGCGAGTGGGCAGTCGGCACATTTGCGAGAGATCTGCTGGAGTGGACACGCATGATCGGGGCATGTCTGCCACACCACATACCTTTGCGCTTTTCACGGACAAACACGTTTTATTCCTGTCCTATGTTAGATCAGGAGGGAGTGCTATCCTGAACTAATGCCCGAGTCGCCGCTATAGTGTACAATCTATACAAACATCGATTCAGGTATCGGTTCCGGAGCGGTCAACTTGTTTGCTGTAGCACGATGTTTTCTTCGACTGCAACGCAACACGAGCATTGGCTACAACATGATATTGAGACGAGTACAGCGCAACATTATTCACTTTGAGGAAGAGACTGTCGAAATGGCGACTGGAGACCATGTACTGGCGGCAATCGAGAAAGACAACTTGATTGTACTATACATTGCGGTTTGGTCGTATCGAACTCACAGGAATCTGCCATCAACAAGAGGCAAGCATCGCAAGGGAAAGACATCAGTAGCGACCGAAGAGAGCAGCTTCGCCTTGCGCGCTTATGCCTGGAGTGTCGCACCAAGCTAGTAACCGAGCTGTATAATGCAGAACCGCATATCAAGTAGTGAGAACAAGACCTGTTGTCATTGCGCGCGACACGATGTGCTCTGTACAATCAGAGTGATGGCCATCGTCAACCCCATAAGGAGCACCTTCCAACCGACGCCAACGTCCCCACCACCGAAAGCCCGCCGTTCGTCTCAGGAGGTACGGGCTTCAGGCCTTCAGGGTCGTAATCAGGATCGGCCGCGAGCGGGACAAGATGCCCAGCTCAGATGCGAGCGTGTCTCCCAGACAGCACGCGAAATGCCTGCCCTCCGAGTAGAGATGCGAAAGATGTGTACAGCTCTCGTCCTGTGAATACTGAAAGAATAACTCACCCAAGCGTCACGAAGATGAGAGCCCGGCTCCAATATGGCGCGACCGGTGGCATGAGCGGACACCATCAGGTGATGTCGAACTCCACCTTATGTCGACCGAGTTCAGCGTCCCAGCCCAAAGAACGGAGGGCTTGCGCAACCCACGAGTGTGGGTCATAGAGCGCACTCCAGCCAAGTGCGGCGATGGCTGCCGAGAGCGAGTTGCATACCACCTGCATCGCGTTCCTGTACCCTGCGTCCTGGTGCCCCTCCTCGAGTTGCTTCTTGACCGATTTCCCAAATTTCGTCGCGCGCGATCCCGTTAGGTAGAAAACAATGAGTGCGACACCGAACGTCGAAAGGCGGACAGACATCATGGTGTATCCGACGACGAACGCAGCGGCGGCGCCAGAGGGGGAGAGGGAGCGTTTGCGAAGACCATGCCAGGCGAGGACGGACGCAAGCGAGAGGGCAAGGCTAGGGAGCTGGACACGCATGTCGTGAGCTGCGCACGTCGTCGACGGCGTCGATGTAGCTGGGGGTACGCAGTGAAGCTATGTAGTGCTGGGTAGTACATGCTCAGGAGACGATACACGGCGTTGCGGTGCGCGTCAGTAACGACCTCCGATAAAGACGGCCCCGCTTATTCACGTCCTGACCCTTACTACATCGTCGCAGGATAGTATAATGCCTTCCAACGCGTGTACCTCGAACAATCCAGACTGAAAGATACACAGCGATACTCCGGCATATGTATGCAAACGACATCGATGTCTCCTTAGCAGATGAGTTACATACATATGCAGCTAATCAGTCGTCCATTGCACCAGTCCTGATCAACATTCATTGATCATCGCTCGCCTTTCCCAGCAAATAGCCTCCATAAACCACTGGGCCACCTACGACTCCTCGTGGTCGTGCAAGGCAGGCTGGACTACGGTCATCACGACACGTCGAAGGAATGCGAACCCCTCCATGCTTCATGGCATCTTCCGGCCACGAACTATCCGTCTCGTATTCCCAGAATCCGAGGGTTTTCAGACTTGGTGCCGCTTTCAGTGCACGCTGCTCGAACACGGGCTGCATCGTCGAACACCTCCAGCGGATATGTTCTTCAGCGTCCCACGAAGCGCATGTCGCCTTGTCGCACCCTTCTGGGAGGTTTGTTGGCTCACCCGGGTTCTTACCCCGGGCCGCGACTCTCCAACAGAGAACCACTGCTTGCAAGGCCGGACAAGGTAGATGTGTGGAGGGAGCGTCGGAAGAGATGGTTGATTGAGCAAGTGCCGGGAGGATGGAGTTAGGCCGGTTGCTCCGCACACGGTGAGAGAGGTGAGATGGGGTAAGGCCTGTAAGACAACGACCCAATTCTCGACGGTACATGCATCAGCAAAACTAGCAACTAATGGTCTGGCATGGCCACGGCGCTCGAACCCCGGCCTACCATTTCCGGAAACCGCAAGCGCTGGCGAAATCTGGTCAGATACCGTCTTGTCCGATAGAAGCTGGCAGCTTAGCATCAGCACGGATGGATCGCGGCAAGAGCAGATAGATATTCATGTTGTCCGACCAGATCATGTCTAGCACGGGGGAGGAAATTTTACACAAGTTTTAAAGTGGGGCAAAGCCCTCGGCAGCATACACGGTGTCTACAAAGCCGTCATCAAGCTCCTCCAACACACCGCTCTCGCGGCCGTCCCCTTCAATAGCGTCTGCCTCATCATCCTCATAATCTATGTCCTCCCGGTCGCTCTCATGCTCGGCACCTACGTCATTTTGAGCCTCGCCGCCGGCTTCACCCTCTCCCTCACTGGACCACACATCTTCGTCTGCCTCCGCATCTGGTCGCTCTCCTCTTTCCGATTCTGGCGCGCTTGCATATGAGACCACGTCCGAGTCCGAGTCCGAGTCCGAGTCTGAGTCTGAGTCTGAGTCCGAGGCCAAGTCGCAGCGATCCCGGCCAAGGGACTGAGCGGTGTTTGTGACTCGGGAACCAGGTTGACTCTTGCGAGCGCGGCCACGTCGCGAGAGCCGGACGGCGTGTCTTCTGGAGTCTTCAACACCCACACCCACACCCCGATGTCCGACACCACCGCCCAGATGCCGCATGTATATGTCGCGGTTGGCCCACCTGCGATAGTATCAGTTGCAAGTCATGTCAAATAAAACCATACGTACATGCATACGTAGAAGTAGCGCCAGTCATCGTCATCGTCGCCATCGTCCTTGAGGCGACGAGCCAATTTTGAGGGTCCGAGGAGATCTGTTGTACCACCATGCTCAAATGCAGGAATGAGATAAGTCAGCTGTATGATATCGTCTGGATCTACAAAGCCGAACGGGACATTGTCGGGGTCATTTGCATCCATGAACTGCAGACGCGGGAGACGCCGGTGCTGGAAACCGGATGAGTACGCCAGGTCGCGCTCAAACCAGCGCACCCAAACAAAATTGATGCGCTGCCACTTGTGGGTTGTGCGCGTAGATCCAGGTCCAGTATAGCGTACGTGTGCGTGAAAGATGCTGAGGACACGGGCGTACCAGAAGGGGGCATTGTTGTCATCATCAGTGTGCGATGACAGGAGGGTGATATCCGCATGTGTTCGCGGATTGATGGTATCTTGCTCGCGTCGCATGTCGTATGTCGTATAGTTGATGTGAATGGTGCTGTGACGGTAAAGGCGATCATTGAGAACTTGAATGCCGCTCGTGTGTTGTTCGGAGAAGCCGTCCTCTGGCTCGGCGTCGGACCCAACAAAACGCCTGACCAAATGGTCGCGAAGAAGATTCATGAAGTCCTGCGGGTAGACGTGTGAGTTACAGTCAATGTGCACAGTGTACGTACCTTGGTAGCAGCGTCGGCTTCATGGTCTTCTAACCAGGACCACACGTGAAAGTGTTGAACTTGGACTTATCCGGTCCGGACTACACGAGGCTATGCGTCTCCTAGCGCTTAGCTGTAGTCGCTTATGTAGTATGTTACCATATTTGGGACTCTCTGCTCGTGTACTATAGCTATGCTTCCGGACTCTTCTGGTACTGTCTAGGACAATCCGTACTACTCCAGAACGGTCTAGACAGGTCTATGCCTTACTCATCTCTTACTCATCCTATGGTGCGATATGTCGCAATTCTTTCGTCGTTGTATTATTCATCGCACTATGGTACATGTGACTAACCACTCTTCGATTAGTCATGGACACTTCTCTGTAGTATATAAGGACTTCAGATTTCGTCCTCCCTCTTCAGTCTTTCCTTACTGACTGAAGAGTGAGTACTTCGTTACACCTACCTCTAACTTGTAGTTACTTACTTAACCTTTGTAGTCTTGCTTCGACTCTAGGTACAGTTCGTTGCT